ATTATAATATAAAATAAAAAATATGTCATATAATAAGAAATACGTCAAATAATAAGCAGAATTGTGTCACAGATTTGCGGTGTATTACTGCATTTTATTTGAGATGTTTTTGTTGTAGTACGGAGGGTATTTATTTAGCAATGCAGAATAATAATTTTTATATATAAAAACTTGTATTTAAACTGAATCCTTTTCTAATTTACGAAACCAAATAGCCGCCATTTTGCGGCAGGATGAGCGCATCGCGTGAGCGGCTAATCAAACATACTATACAATGTCTGAATTTTTAAATGATAAATCCCATTAACTCGAGTTACTCCCACGACGAGTCAACTCGAGTTACTTTTTTACGAACGCGAGCTAGATCGGGTCGGCTATTAGTTCTCACTCGGTCCGATCGGCGACCTTCGGAGCACGCTCGAGTCGCGATTGACCGGCCGATCGTGCCTAACTCGGTGAATCGTCGGTTTCATTCAAATTTTCAAAAATTTACAATTCAAATGAACCTGTACACAGCAGTTGGACGAATAATGAGCCGATGATGATACAGATGAAATAAGTTCGGCTATTTATTCAAAGTGTAACCGATATTCAGTCGATATCTACTGCAATCACTAAATGTTTGCAAGCGGGGAGCACTTTTGCATAATAAACTGTCATTTTACTCCATCTTCGGAAAGACTAGACTATATTATACTATGGTTATTTCGATTTATTCTTAATTGTTAACCTTCTTTAACAAATCTATATTTCCATCCATATTACAACACAACAAGGAACTGACATTATATTTATATATATTATATTATTATTATACAGTATTAACTAAAAAAGTGTACTTTCTCAGAATCGATGAAAATCGAATTAATCACTTTAAAATGTATGAATAGGTTATAGTTTATTTATTACAGACAAACAATTTCCTATTTGCTAAATTTACTTAAAAATTAAATTATTTTGGCCAGAATTGGCTCGCATAAAGTGTGTCTCATTTTGAGTTATGTAGAGACACATTAAAAGATGTCTTTTCATTGTTTCTTAATATTCTTATGACAGTTTTAATGACGTGTATGGAATCGAATTTTACGTTCAGCCAATCAATCAATCAGCCTGTTACAGTCCTCTTCTGGACGTAAGCCTCCCCAAGTGTACGCCATAGTGCCCGATCACCCATTTTCCGCATCTAATCACTACCAGCGACCTTCTTCGGATCGTCGGTCGGTTGCAGGGGGACGTCCTACGTGACGTTTAGCGAGACGTGGTCTCCAGTCGAGAACCCGCCTACTCCATCGCTCATCGGTTCTGCGACAACGTCAAGTATGAAGCTTCACTCGCATCATGCGTCTTTTAATTTGGTCGAGTATTACTTATCTGACAGTTCTTTTTTCGGACGGATGTCGAACGGAGAATGTGAGTAGACCCCCTTATGTAGCCAGCCCACTGCCACTTCAGCTTGCTACATTTCTGGACAATGTCCACAACTTTAGTCTTGTGCCGGATAACTTCGTACCGGACTTTGTTCCTTAACGAGATCCCGTAGACCTTTCCATAGTTCGCTGAGCGACGTACGTCTGCTGTAGTCTGTGAGCCAGTTTCACCGTCATATTCCACGTCTCGGCTCCATAAGTCATGACCGGTAGGACGCATTGGTTGTAAATCCTGGTCTTCAGGCACTGCGGGAGTGGTGACGAGAAGACATGACGCAGTTTCCCGAATAGCTATTTCACACTCGAAGTTGTCTCTGCCGAGTTGCAGGGTTTGCCCGAGATAGACATATTCTCGGACAACTTCGAGCGTTTCGCCTTTAATCGAGAGAGGCTCCGGAGTGACGAGCTCATTGAACAAGACCTTAGTCTTGTCCAAATTAATCCGAAGACCGACCGATAATGAGACAGCATTAAGGCTGTTCAGCATTTTCTGCAAATCTGATTTACGTTCTTAATGATATAATATTGAATTTCACATATTTTGAGTTACAACACTATTGTAACAGCAGTGCGGTATATGTAAGGCAATAAAAACGTGAAACGTACTTGATGGCAGCAGCGAAGCCCTGTATGACCTCACCGGCGACCGGACCGACAAAGTGCAAACCGAGCACTTTCTGCGGCGCCGCGCGCATCGCCACGGCCTTCAGGTAGCAGTTGCGGATGTTGCGCTGCGGGATGAAGAACTCCGTCGGTTTGTAGAACTGGTGGTATACTTCGATGTTCTCCGTGCCGAATCTGAAAAATTTAGATAGTAGCATTGACTTACAAATAAATGGACGACGGGTCTAATACAAAAACCACGAAAAAAATGTCCCAAGTCAACCTATTTAAAAGTAGTGACATGTAAAGGAATATGAAAAAGCTAAAACGTTGAATTTAAATTGTAATGTCATCGCAGTATCGCGCTGTCAGTCGAACAAACGAAGACTAAAGCGTGAATGACGCTCTGTATACGATTTTAACGCCCTATAAGTTCGGACACTTTTTAGGGCGGACCCGACGTCCATATAATTGTAAGTCAATGGATAGTAGAGACACATTTAGCATTATAAGCATTTTCAGGTCTACTATTAGTGCGCACCCTGTGCGATATCAGTCATTCATTTACCGCCGTCCGCATAACTTTTGTGTGATCAAAAATGTAATTAAATGGAGTCAAATTTATACTGTTTCCACATGGAAAATCATAACAAATTTATGTAGTTATAAATATTAAGCTGGAGTAAGAACATTAAATCAAGACAATGAATGACACCGTAACGACCACGGAAGAAAAATTTATGATTACTACACATTTATAATTTGAAACACTACAAAATCTTGATATTGATTGATCGTAGTTTCAAATTTAAAAAGAAATAAACTCAGGATTGTTAATATAATTTAAATTTTACCCTGTTGGCATATCGTTGAAAGTTTAATACCATCAATGCCTATTATTGCAAGTTACGACGTATTGATTTTATATTGAAATTTCAATCAATGTGCTGCCATCTAGCGGTTAATAACTGAACGACGACGAATTAGAGAACTCTACTTAGTTCTCCAAAAAGAAGCTACTATATTGCAGCGATACAAGGTTTAATTTTGCTTTCTTGTAACAAAATTACCATAGTTTATTACGATAAAAATTGAAATTTATTAAAATTAACTAAAATAAGACTTAATGATGATACAAAACACCATCATAGACAATATTATAAGTGCTACTATCATTTATGCACTCCAAAGAAGCGAAATAAGGCATTTTCCTACGATTTTCGAGGTTTTGCGCGAGATAATTGACACGACCATAACGTACAAAGCGAAAATGGAAGACTGAGCTCAAGTTTGCGGAACTCCGCGAATTGTTGGCGCACATATCACGCCAACTAAGAACTTCCATTGTACTTATTGTTCCGCAGTTATTAATCAGATATGAAGAAAACAACATAACTCATTTTTATTAACAGCCCACCTCATATATTGTTTTATTATCGTGCACCACAATCAAACGCAAAATAAGTAATACCACATTAATTAACCGATTTAAAAAAAAGGAGGAGGTTCTCAATTGGACTGTATGTTGTTTTTTTCGTATGTATGAGTAATTTAAAAAAAAATTGATTATCATGATGGTGAAACATGCTGACATTCAATTAATTTAATTACAATTATTAAAGCGACATTTTTAGTTAACTGCTGGTTGGCTGAGTGAAGAAATAGATTTCTCATAGATGGCGCTACGACAAAAAAGTCGTTAATAACCAAAAACTTTAAGGATGTTTGAGAAAAAGTAAATCATAGAATCTGCCGATAGTCCAAATAGGTTATACCTCTGAATAGCAGCCTCCTCGCTGAGGCCGACGCAGCCATATTCGAGCGGCGTGAAGACAGTGGTGGCGACGTTTTCGTAGTCCATTTGGTGCGGTGAGTCGGCGAAAATGCGCCGGGCCAGGAGGCGCCCCGCGTGGATGGCCACTGGCGTCAGCTCGGGCCGACCTTCCAGCACGTCGCCCACGGCGTAGATGTGCGCCACGTTAGTTTGCTCTGTATCCGCTATTACTTTACCAGTTTCCGAAAGGCACTGGAAATGTGAAGACATTTCTTAAAAAACACCCCTTTGACTTTTGACAACTTCGGTGGCCAAAAGACGAGGTCGATGTGAACTTTTCTAAATTGGTTCTGGTGTTTTGGGAATTGTCTCAGACTGAATTCTGTTGCTCTGGTACACATAATATGGACAAGGAATTCTCTCATACTAGATAGCTGCTTCGAACTCGGTGGTACAAAATACAAACATACCCAATATTAATTACTCTATTGTAGTATCTTAGTGCCGTCGCTCACTGGGTCTCTGATGGCGGCTACTAAATGAGACCTGGCAGACTGGATTAGGCTTGTATAGTTCATGAACTATGAACTATTAGCAATATATTTCCGACACTGACCGACATGAACTAGTTCGTCTTGTACGGTTTTAATAGTGCTTTTTTTCGTTCTTTTTAGTTCAGTACGAACTAGGAACTGTCTGCGTTGATAGTTCACCTGTCTTTTATTCAGTAGGAACGGTGCGAGCGGGACAAATAGCGATCTTTCACTGCTTTTAGCACAAGTTCGAGTGGGATGCACGATTGAACGTTGCCACCTCGTTCTAAGTCTTCTCTAATACATATCTACATTATGTATTATGTATATAATATGTAAGCTTGCAAAAAAATAAGTGCTCATATGTTTTGGTAAGTGTGGTACGTATCTGTATGTATAATATCAACCTACGTGTACGAGTATATAAAATAGTTGTATGTATGTACTTAAATATTGTAATATAATATTTTAACACACCGTTGTAACTAAAATTCTTGTTTTTGTACAAAAAAAAGGATATTTAGTTAGAATGACAGTTTTTAAACATGTAAAATATGAACGAAAATCAAATAGTACCGATTCCATACAAATTGTATTTTTAAATAATTTAGTACAATGTATTTTTTGATCTCATAATATGAGAAGTCCGTAGTAGTTCATGTGAATAAAATTACTAGTTTGGAGCGTTCGTTCGGTGTCCGAGCAAGGACAAGACGAACTAACTAACTAAGGAACTAGATGAACTAAACGAACTAGAAGATCGACCTAGTTCAGTTGACCGATTGAACTAACTAGGATGGCTCCCTCTAAGGACCGATCAGCACAGGTCTAGACTGGATTCAATAGATACGGCCACCAGTCGCCGCAACAAGTGTGCCTAGAAATCGCCCATTTCCCCGAATTCTACGTAGTGTTACCAGTGTTAGACATGAAAATAGGACACACGGATATAACTTTATTTTAAACTTTAACGTTTACTTTCATTGACAGGTCAAATCATTTTTATATTTAAAAAATACAGGTAAAAAACCCTCGAAGCATCGAAGCAGTTAAACACCCGTAAAATTCCCTAGATCTAGCGACTAAGTCGCTAAAATGGCAACTCTGACGGGCGAGGAGAAACCGGCGACTATAGTCGAGTGTGCGCGGGAGGCGATCTACACAATTAGCGAGCGCGGGCCACTTCCGCAACTTGTGGCTCGAACGCTCAGTGTGCGCCGATGCCATATATTTTTTTTTATAATAGGTACCATGTGACGGGACGAACAAGTCGTGCGCCATAAGCGACACGCCTATCCACAGCAGTTGCAGTACCACTCAGACTTTAAATCACAAAGATCTGAGTGGCACTGCCATTGGGCCCGTCACCCTGAGTAATAGTTAACAAGTCCCATGTGCCTGTAATTTCACCGGTATCCTTACCCTTCAAAACCGGTACGCAATAATGCTCACATTACTGCTTGGCGGCAGAAATAAGTACGGTAGCCATTGACTTACAAATAAATGGACGACAGGTCTAATACAAAAACCACGAAAAAAATGTCCCAAGTCAACCTATTCGAAATTTAAATTGTAATGTCATCGCAGTATCGCGCTGTCCGTAGAACAAATGAAGACTAAAGCGGAGTGTCGCGCTCTGTATACGATTTTAGCGCCTTACAAGTGCGGACACTTTTTAGCGCGGACCCGACGTCCATATAATTGTAAGTCAATGACGGTACCAGTACTTCCCTAAACGAACTCTTTCACAAAGAACTCTACTGCTAATACAGTGAATAGCGACATCTCTCGCCAGGACTGGTAACTGTAAAGGTACTAATTGGATGATAAATCTGTAATAGATTTCTCATAGATGGCGCTACGACTAAAAAGTGGTTGAAAGACCAAGTACAAAGACACGACGTAAGCACATAGAAGAATTCGTGAGGTCCGTTGGTTCGTTCCGTGGCTTAGTTGGTATAGCGTCTGGCACGGTATGCAAGAAGACATCGGTTCGAATCCGACCGGATCGAAGGAATTTTTTTCTGAGTGTTCGATCTTTGTATTAATAATTATAACAAACTAGTCGAGTAATGTCACAAAAAATAATTGAATATCAATTCAATAAAAATTTTATTAACTCTACTGCTGTTAAATGAAAAAAACTCGTGCATAACTTGTGGTTTAGTGGTGGTAGTGGTAGTTTAGTGGCCGCCACAGTGGCCCAATGAGCGAGCGGCTTTGTTCTGCAATGGACACGTGAAGATTTGGGAAATGACTTTTTTAAATTCTGTTATGTGTGCCCCAGAGCTAATCCCGGTGCTCTGATACTCACAGTGCAGAGAATTTCCTAGTTTGAGATCTGTTAATTGGCGTGGTTAAGGCGTATTCAACTTACTTTAACACCAGCGACATCTAAGTTAAGAGCCTTGGTCAGCGCGTATCGTCCAGTGGCCATCAATACCGTGTCGAATACGTCCTCTTTCCTGTAATACAAATAAGAAGAATATATAATATAATAGGAATCTAATATCGGAATAGACAAAAAATTATATTTAGGCTGCTAACAGATTCAGAGAAACAGTCGTTATCAACTTCATGCAGTCGAGGTCTCGGATAACGACTTCACGCATGCAAGTTGAAACCGACTTCATGCAGCTGAGATCGACTGCATTCAGATAATGCGCGAAGTTGTTATCAACGTCATGCAGTCGAGGTCTCAGCTGTGTATATAGTAATAATAGGATATACAAAAATACAAAAAAAAAAATACAAAAACATTTATTAAACTGTCCAATACAAAAATTGTTGTGACACAATAGATAACCACACTAGGCTAGGCCTGTGTCGTGGTTATCATTACAGAGAGTTTATACAGAAGGACTGTAGCATAAAATTATATAATAATACGAAAGAAATGTGATAAATGCAAATAATAAAAATATAACGAATAAATTGACAGAAGGTGAATAATTACCATGACTGTGCGTGTTTGAGTGTGTGTGAGTGTGCGTGTGTTTGCGTGTGTGCGTGTGTGGGTGTTATTGAGTGTGACAGCTAATGAATGATAATAATGTTATTTTTATTTATAGGGCGTCGTTTATTTTACAGTTAGAAGTACGGATTCTGTTTCATTGTATGTCAAGGTATATATAATTTTACTATATATTTTTTCCTAATTGATTGATTCAACACTTTGACTATTATGCGGAATCAACCAAAGCCTTTTGATATTGTATAGACCCTTAAGTAATAACGCAGTACTATTCAAATTTTGAATAATCTCATTTTTAATTCACTTTTCTGACCTTTCATTACCTACCCTTTTAGAAATATTGTCTTTGGCCTGGTTCAAATAATTTTTCAAGGTTTTTTTCTTTTTACCCAGATGTCTAACAGCACTGGCTGTCGTGCTGTGTAATCAGAGCCACATATCCCAAGCACAAATACATGAGAGCATATTACACACACGTTACTCGCCCAGTCAGTTTTGATTTATTATATTATACCCCACCCAACCTAATTAATACACCCACTACCTACCTACACGTAACTTTGCACTTATGGATACTTTATCTGTGTCTATTTTGTACTTGGACGAAGTGACATCATCTTTCTCATTTATCCGGCTTCACTGAAAACTAGAGTAGCGAGGTATTTTCCAAGGTCGTCGCATTACAACCATTTTGGTAAAGTTTATCTAAATTGCTTTTATTTGTGTTTTATTCTTTATGTGATTTTTGTTATCATTTCTTTCTTTCTGTTAAGATTTAAATGTCAGGGTTTTGTCAATTTTCCTTATCTCTCATTCAATGATCGTATATGCTCTCATCAGTGATATAATATTCTTTTATAATCTCAGTACAGAATACTAAAAAACCGGCCTCAAAAGTCATTCATCCTCTAGTTTGCCAAAAGTGTGTGTAGTGTGGCAAAATATTTTTTTTGAGATATAATAAAAATAACGTAACCCAGTTCTAGAATATTGAAATTGTTTAACGATATTTGAGCTAGTGTAAGGTAAAGGAAAATTTCTTTACCTTACACTATTTCTTTATCTTTTTGTTTAGCCGCGTTTTAAATAGTGGACGGCAGTACTGAGGTCTTGCAAATATATTATAATTCACAAATGAGTTATTTTCCGTTATCTTTTTAACCGACTTCAAAAAAGGAGGTTCTCAATTCTACAGTATGGTTCTTTTTCTTTTTTTGTATGTATGTTACGCGATAACTCCATTTGTGAACCGATTTTGATGATTCTTTTTTTATTGGAAAGAGGGTACCTCAGATGTGGTCCCATTTAAATTTTAAGAAAATATTCCTCCTCTTAGGGTGGCAAACTAGGGGATAAATGACCTTTGAGGACGGTTTTTTTAGTACTGCGTACAGTTTTTGAGAAAAAATGTTCATAACACTAATTTTATTTGTTACTTAATGAAAACTACAAAGTTTCAGCTTTTCCATATAAAAAATAAATATAAATAAAATTAGTTATGATTTCTTTTTTTTTAAACTTCAAATCCCTCTCTTGTGACATTTTCTAAAATAAATCTAGATAGCACCTGGACTTGGTTAATAAATACATGACAAAGAAAAACAGAACTTACTGTTCCTGTGTCTGGGTATTGAGCCAGCGCGCTTTCAGCTTCCCTGACTCCAGCTTCTCAATAGACAAGGGAATAGTTTTGTGCTCGAAATTGACGCCACGCTGCTCCATCTCGTTGGTGATCATCGACGCCATCTGCTGGTCGAACCCGCGGAGTGGCACCGACCGCACCAGGACCGTCGCGGGGAAGCCGAGGGAATTGAGAAAGCCCGCGCATTCCAAGCCGATGTCTAATCATGTGTTAAGGCATTTTTGAACTTAAAAAGCATTTTGTAGTATTATTATTGTGTCGTAATAACCCGCTTTGAGTAAGCGGGCAAAATTTTGCCGCACTCGGCATCTATCGGCGCTGGTCGGGCACCACCGCCTTCACACCTCTCGCTTCGTACCACACAAAATGGTGGAGAACCCCGTTCGCGTCTCACGCGCCGTGCAAGTCTTTTTAGAATAAACAAAATCTGACATATAACAATCATTACACGATTGTTATATGTCAGATTTTGTTTATTCTAATTTCAATATTTAAATAGTATAAGTGTTTTCAACATTATTAGAGTTTTATAATTTGTAATTCAGTTATATATATATGTTTCACCACTACAATATTCAATTATTTTTGTGAAATTAGTTTTTTGAGTTATTTTTAGTTTGTTATAATTACTAATACAAACAACTGCCTCTGTGGCCGAATGGTTACCATACCGGACTGCCATGCAGAGGTCCCGGGTTCGATTCCCGGGCCGGGAGAAATATTTGTATTATCGATTTATTTCTCTCGTGAGTTTGGGTGTAATTTGCGGTTGTCTATGTGTGTGTCCATGGCACCCGCGACACAGGGTTTCCCTAGTGCGGGGCTATGTCGAGTGTGTGCGTTAAAAAAAAACTAAACTAAAGATCGAACACTTAGAAAAAAGTCCTTAGATACGGCTGGATTCGAACCAATACCTTCCAGCAAACCGTGCCAGACGCTATGCCAACAAGCCACGGAACGAACTAGCGGACTATACGCATAATAACTTTTTGCCGTAGCTACACATGCAACAGACTATGATAGTATTTTCTTCACTCAACCTTGTTACCACTTCCTTTATAGCACTTCTGGTTAATAGTACTTTTGTGTGAGGTCATATCATACAAAAGTGCTATTACTGAATAGAAAAATTTTTAAGCGATACAGAGATATAATATCCCTGAATTTATTTGTCTGTAGTAATAATAATTAGTACATAAGTTCAGTGTGTTATTGAGAACGATTTATTCAAAATTTTACTATTTAAGAGAATTTAATAATTTTGTTGTATAATTTGTTATTTATATTTTTTTGTTTATTACTTGGATTATTTCGTAGTTTAATTTTTAGCTACACCCTTGCAGGGTACAGGCTCAAGAGCACGTCAAGCTTAAGATTTAAATCCAACTCTACGCCGCTTACAATAAGAGCGGTCCAAAGTACAAAGTGTCAAGCTTGACGTGCTCTTGACTGTACATATATTTAATATGTATTTTACATGATTGCTAATAAATAAATAATGAAATACTTTTTAAACAGACATTACTGGCCAGGTACGAATTTTCGTTCAAAGGATACATCCAGCACCGACCACCAAAGTCTTCCCCGGCGGATGGCCCAAGCTGAAGATATCATCACTGCTGATACAATATTCTATAGCACCAGGAATGTCAGGGTAGTTGGGTCTGCCACCGACCGCTAACACAACATGCTTCGCCGTCAACTCCTTCTTCGACCCGTTCTTGAGTGTTGCTACAATCGTATGTGGGTCCTTGAACTCTCCTAGTCCGTTAATATACTCGATTTTCTTGTCCCTCAAGTCCACTCTGGTCACCCAATTGACAGATTTAATGTGGTTCTGAACAGATTCTGTCAGATTCGCCCAATTGATTTTGATCGAGTCTAAATCCGGGATTTGCCAACCATATGATACTGCTTCCTGAAATTATAACAGTTAATGTTAACAGTTAATAACTTTGTTCGTAGGGTTAGGTATTTGCAGGTTGTACAAATAGACAAAAAACATTATATCTGAAAATGAATATTTTTATTTATTAGTATAATTAGTTATTTTTATAACATGTTAAGTTGAATTGATTTGAAATCTATAGCGGAACAAAGCTGTGGTTACTCCACTCACTTTGATCACGTTCCCAATTTTTTTACTAAGAGGATCGTGGACCCACCAAATAAAACAAAAATTTTTATTAAGGGAATTGTGGGGTCACCAAATAAAACAAAGGCTTAGCAAAATTAAGATGCAATAGATATTTTGAAAATTCGCTGTCCCAGTAACTCTTTTCCGTTGTTTAAAACTATTAAGATAGATAGCAAAGAGCGTATGGGTGGCGGACATGCGACATTGATAACCAGTCAATGCATATTTTATCAAGTTGCAAGTGTCATTTCACGGTAAATGAATCTGGTTTGGTCCTTCATTTTGTAAAATACGTTGAGGTCAAATGGAATATAGACACTTTTTTGTACGGCGAATACACAATCCTCTTAACGGTACATGTTTATTAATATAATTCGCATTGCGTGCTTAGCGTTACAGGTAAAAGGAAGATGTTATTAATTCATGGTTTAAAAAAGTACTTTAGTCTTAGAAATCACAGTCAGAATAAGTAATTAATTTTCTTCATGATCTTACAGGCCTACCGCTTAACTGAGTTGGTTCCTGAGGTAGCTGCGCGGTGCGGGAGGGGTTTACATGTCGCGCTGCACACGGGATAATTTCAATAAGATTTTTCTGACGATACTCAATAGGAAAGTTGATTGAAAAAATAGCCTACCAAATCAGTCACATCAGACACAATCAAATTGTTGTTATGTGAAACAATAATAAAAAAATTCATTGACAATCGAAATAACAAGCCATTTGACACTTTTTTTTTCAATGAACTTGTTTTTGAATATCGTCAGAAAAATCTTGTTAAATTTATCCCGTGTGCAGCGCGACATAACTGTTACGTAAACTGTCACTCCTCCCGCACCGCGCAGCTACCTCAGGAACCGACTCAGTCTAGCGGTAGGCCTGTAGTAGTTCATAGCATTCGATTCAAACTTTTTTTGATTTAGTCTACGGTTAAAAGAAACAAATTACTTTTTTTTACAGCCTGTACACAGGCTTTACAGCAAATGACAATTTCATTTACAATTTATTTCTATAGCTTCACCAAGAGCTAGGTTTAATAAAAAAACACTTCGATTCGCCTAGCCACCGATTGAAGATCTTGAATATAAATATTATAATTAATTTATTTGTGGAAATAGGATGGAAAACAGTTGACAGTAGGAATATTAGTTTCGCTGTGCCCAAGCAAACATTAAACTTACAAATATAAAGAAGGTATAATCTCTATTTACCAATAGGCAGTAAATAATAAGAACACTAAACTAGGCATAACAGGTTTTTTTAAATTACTATAGAAAATATCACACATGCACGCAAATTTAATAAATTCGTGAATAATCTAACCGCGGTGATAGTGATTTGGGTCAATATTAATAAATAACGAACCTAGATGTCAAAATATCACAAGATAAAATATAGTATGCGATAACAATCTTTGAATAACATCAAACTGTGCCGTATTATTCTTCTATCATCAGAGAAACAAATGTGGGCCATACAAATATTTCTCCCTGCCCAGGAATCGAACCTGGGACCTTTGCGTGGCAGTCCGGCATGATTACCGTTCGGCCACAGAGGCAGTTAAATGATAAAATCAATTCATATACATTTTAATAAGGAATACTAATCTATATAATATTTCATTATTATTGTGCATTTGTATTGTATAGTATTTAGTAATTTGCTGGAAATCTTAAAACTGGAATGATATACGTGTTCTTTTTTTTTAATAAGGCAGGCTATAGCAAAATATCAGCGGCGTTGGGCTGAACTACAAGACCATCTCCCACCGCTGTTGTCTGTTACTAAACTTTATGTGTAACAAAGTTTTTTCTGAACTACCCTCAATTTTAGCCTGTTGTAAGTCCATACCAGAGCGCTTTTATGTTCATCTTCCTCTGACGCATGCGTGAAGCGCCATAGCTAATGCGCTAAAACGGTTGGCCAACAATTCACGCCGATCCGGCAATGATGGGTTCGTGTGCAACAGTACGTGCGGTTTACCAGACATAATGGCGGAAGTGTGGATTTAGCTGCTCGTGTCTTTTGACAATCAGTATAGCATACACTTGACGCAATACTAATTGAAAGTTAAGGCACAAGATGAACATGTAAGCGCACTAGCGTGCACTCGTGGCGGGCGGGCGGCCAGATTTTAGGGGCGCCCAATCATGACAAAAACTTGACTAATGTTAAAACGAAATACCTAATTATTGTAAAGACTCGCGCACATTATGGCGGGCCGCACTGCACCGCATCTTACAACAATAATCTTCCTAAATAACTTTAGTACATTTTATGTATAAAATATAGATAAGTTACATATCTATAATAATAATAATAACGTACACACTCAACATAGCCCCACACTAGGCAAACCCTGTGTCGCGGGTGCCATGGACACACATAGACAACCACAAATTACACCCAAAGTCACGAGAGAAATAAATGTAGGCCATACAAATATTTCTCCCGGCCCGGGAATCGAATCTGGGACCTCTGCGTGGCAGTCCGGCAAGGTAACCGATTGGCCACGGAGGTAGTTATATCACTATATGACTACGTCTCTCTGATCGCGATAAACTAAAAAACGACTGAACGGATGCAGGTACTGACTGCATGGGCTGGGACCTAGAGCAGCCAAGACTACAAATCCGCCACACCTCTCGATATATATTCTAAATTCTAAAACTTGGTGATAATTTCTCTAGAAACCTAATCTATGTTATTTTGTGTCTCTTAGGGGAAATAAATGTACTAGTTAGTACTTCACGTCTCACTTGAATTTAAAACGTTCTGATAATTTTAAACTGGTTTTAATTCCATAAAAAAGCATGCAACACGAACGTCGGTTCGCGATGTCGATTTGCTACGTTTATGATATCAAAATTGCCACGATTTCATGTCACTTAAGATTTTAACTGACTCAAATAAAAGAATAAAGTTCAAATTTAATGTAATTTTTAATTAAAACGCCTCATAATATGGTTCCCATTTAGAAGCATGTTTCAGAAAGGCGTCTATTAATAGAAGTGTGTTTAAATGAAGTATCATTAGCACGCTTTATGCTGAAGCTTGCTGTCAAGAGGCAGAACATGCTTAGTATGGACGCCATTTTGATACGTGATGACAGCTGTTGGGCATGGGTAAGTGATTCGAATCACTAGACCTGACTCCGCTGTTGGTACCGGCTCGTATTAATCCCTCTTAAGCAGAGGAAAAATTCCTAATCTTCGATTTGATTTTAGAGGGGTATATTCACTTTAAAGTTAAAAATATAATATTGTATGAGTAACTACACGATATATTCAAGCATAGACATTAATCAGAAACATAAAATAATAAAGTTTTCTCGATAGATAAAAATCACGAAATGACCTCTAATTTTCACATTTTTTCGATTTATCCTCGAAATGCTACAGGTTATTAGGACAAAAATTAGATAATTAATTATATTTATGCATGATCGACAACTGTCATTACGGATTTTTTTAATCCCTTTAGTTTTAGAGTTATTCCGCTAAAACGAATTTGGTACTTTTAATACGCAAAATTCAACATCTCCTGTCGCATGTCAAAACTTTTTTAGCATGAGATCTCTTAATGCATCCGATTCCGTTATCGGCACCGGCATCCTATTGACTATCAAACATAAATCGCTCCAGATTGTTCCATACAGGGGGCCAATCGCGCTAAATGTCAAAGGTAAAACCAAAACTAAAACGTTGCAAATGTGACATGTTGCATACATTTCCTATGACGCTAAATGTCAAAATAATAATCTCAGTACAGAGTACTAAAAACCCGACCTCAAAAGTACGTGGAATTACGTCTATTTGCTAAGTTTTATTGAAATATCCCCTAGTTCGCCACTATACAGGACTTGACACTGGAGATAATAATAATCGGTTCTCACTATTCAAAGTATATTGAGAAACAAACGCCTAGAATTGGAGAAATAGCAAAATCAGCCATTAAAATAATTGCTCCTAAATTAAAGTTAGGCGCTATTTATAAAAATGAATCTTCATGTGTGAACAGCCACCCCTAAAGGTGGATGATTTTCTTCAAAATGAAATGGGACCACTATGGAAGTACCCCCTTTCCAACAAAAAAAGAATCATGAAAATCCGTTCACAAATACCGGAGTTATCGCGTAACATACATACAAAAAAAGAACATTGCACAGAACAGTACATTGAACTGAATTGAAAACCTCCTCCTTTTTTGAAGTCAGTTAAAAACCAAAACTGAAATGTTGCCAAAGTGACACGTTGCATACAATGGTCATAAATTCAAAACCTGTCGAAAGTCGGATAAAAAAAAACTCTTGTGTAACGATAAAGATCTTTTTATCAAACTGCGTTAAGGATATTTAAATCAAACATTTTACCATAGACATTTTAGTTAACCTTGTGTTGGTGTGACTTATCGCTTTTAAATAGATAATAATAAAAACGCATGCACTCAACATAGTCCCGCACTAGGGAAACCCTGTGTCGCGGGTGCCATGGACACACACATAGATAACCACAAACTACACCCAAACTCAAAAGAGAAATAAATGTAGGTAGGTGAGGCAGTTGATAAAGAAGACACACAAAACTTCAGTGCTAACAATTAAGTTGTCTTATGCATAGTTAATTAAATTGACACTAACAGTTACCTAAGTTCGAATTAGAAAACAATAGGAAACAAAACACGGCAAACAATGTATCGTTCATTGATTTCCCTTCATACTTTACGGACTTGAACTGTCAATCTAAACGCAGAAATTAAATGAAAAACCGAACTCTGCATTATATTGTTACCAACTGACCCGAACCATCATTAATTTTGCGTCGGCGGAATCAGATCATTCGACTCTTTGACCCCGAAGTTACCTATGTCTAATAGCTATTACTTTAGTTAACTTAGCGATCTAATATAGGCTGCTCTCTTTTACACCACTTTATAAAAATGGCAAGGGCTCGGGCATACGGTGTTAAACCTAAAAGAAATATTTGAAATTTAAAATGGTGGTAAGAGCAAATGAGAAATGACGTGGGTTCACATCTCACCGGGTCGAAGAAAGTATTCAAAGTGTCTTGCATTAATAAGTTATAATAAAATTGGATGGAGTTATTTCACAAAAAAAATCTCTAATAATACATTTGATCGAAAAGCGACATCTGTGTCAGTTGTGACACCTGTAAAGATAGCGGCTGCGGCGAGGTTTTTAATAAATCTCTCATTAGATGTCACTAGCGGCGACGAATGACGAAAGTCAGTATAACAAAAATACATGGGAGAATTTCGATAACTGGGTAACTTGACCTGTGGCTCAGTTAGTAAGAATAAAGAAATATTTTCCAAGTTAAAGTCGCAGGTAAAGAGTCACATATGTAGCAAATGGAGAAAACAACACGCGTCTGACCGCATATTATGTGAGAGCCAACTAATTAGCTTGCTATTGTGAATTGCGACTTTATTGGCTTATCTCTAACTAATCACGCACGGCTGCTTTCTGTGCTCACTGCAAAGTGGCCTTCAGAAAAAAAAAACTATTGTTTTCGCAATACTAGGTCGCTAACTTAAATAAGGTATAACGTATGAAAGCAATGAACACCCATACATTTTGAAATAAATACAAATTACGTTAAATCCCCTTTTATCATTAGTGTTGTAAAAAACTCGAGTTCGGGAGTCTTCATTTATAAACACGACTCATTTTTCCACGGCTCCGTGGTCTAAAACACTCACTAGCCCGAGTCGAGTCGAGCGCGTCATCGGAGCACGGAGCACGGCAGTAATTGTACTACAGTTTAAAACGCCACACCACAAAACCGCATAGGTACTTACTTACCAAACTCAAACGCGACTCGTTACAGGAATAGACTCGAGCACTAATGTCGAACTCGAGTCTGTTCGGAAACTCAACAGTATCGTAATACATGGAGCAGTGGAGTCTCTATCTTCTTTCTCAAGTTTTTTACAACACTATTTATCATTGTTAACTGCCTCCGTGGCCGAACGGCTACTTTGCCGGACTGCCACGCAGAGATCTCGCGTTGGATTCGGCCGGGAGAAATATGTGTATGGGTATTTATTTCTTTCGTGAGTTTGGGAGTAATTTGTGGTTGTCTATGTGTTAGTTCATGGCACCAGCGATGCAGTTTCCCTAGTGCTATGCGTATTTGAGATTATGAGACTTATCAACTTATGTCTCAGGGTGACAGGCGCAGTGGGAGTGTCCCACAGATCTTTGCGATTTAAAACTTTGAGTGGCACTGCAATTGTTATGGACAAGCGTATCCACCAGGCGCACGTCTTGTTCGGCCTGTCACTCGGTATCATAAATTGGATTTCAAATAAAATATAGCCGTAGTTAAAACTGGTCCACATACACTTCATTTATCGCTTTGATTTAAGGCGAGGTATTTCAACACGAATCTAGATTTTAGGAGGTGAGTTGTAGGGTGCCGCGCCTCAATCCACGCGTTGGAAATTAGTATGAATAAAATAAGTACAGGCGGAGAAAATTTGACACAGATCCGACTTCGACGAGCGTTCGATGGCGACTGAAGGGGCAGCGGGCGGCGCGGCGTGTTATTCAACCGCTGGACAATTTGCTAATTTCGGGATAAATGTGAATTTAATAAATAATAGAGCTTTACCTGAAAACCAAAATTTAGCAGGTTCTCTGTAGTACTTAAATAGAAATATCTCCGTATAAAAATGATTGTCCAAAGTTAGATATTTTATTCTTAAATAATTGGTTATAGGCTTTTTATTTTAGCATGTTTTCGGGATTTTATATCATCGGATAAAGTACATCCTATCGTGTAACAAATTAGCAATTTGCATTAAACCAATTTGATCTAGCAAAATAGTTTTTCCCGCTCCTCCTCCGGTGACTGGCCTTAACAAAACTTTTCCTTAATATTGGATATCAATAATATCATGAATCACTAGCGTACGGCCTGATACTTAACCGATCAGGATATGCGAGTCATGCATTGCTGCTAATTTGAATCAAAAAGGTTATGTTTCTGATTTGACAGTAATGTTAGCAGCAAGTATGAAGAAATGATTTTGAACGCGCCCTTAGGTAGGAAAAAGCCGCATCCAAGAGACTGAGGCCTATATTAATAAATCCAGTAATCTTTATAATCGCATAGTTTTCATACAAACGTTGTCTCTAATAATCAAAATATCTTATTAAAGGTATCTGTTAATAAGAAATAAAACAATAATGATTCTACCGCTCCGGAAGAAGCTATGTCGTGTATGAAGATCTTATGCTACAAACTGGACGACTGCGGGCGGTGGTGCGGTGGCGAGAGCGATGCGGTTCACGGCTTGCGCGACTTGATCAAAATTCTTAAATTTGTATTGCTGTTCTCGACGGCATTAGCACGGGCGGCAATACACGAGGATCGAGCTCCAGTCGAGCGGTGAATGTGTGTTCGAATAATCATAGTGTCGTCTTGTTGCTTATCCACGCACTTTTCGATCAATCAAATTTAGAGCCGTCGGAGGAAATAATTTCAGCAGTTTTAGAAAGACCACCAATATGGAACAGCAAACATATCGACCATAAAAATAGAAAGATTATTATTCACTATAAAGACAGGAATAGACATACTTTATGCGGTCATAATAAGAGGTGATTCCAATTCTGGCTTGATATTTACAAGAATATCGACTCATCCGAAGAACAGAGTCCGATGTGATTATATAGCGAAAAGAGAATAAGTACGTTACGAGAATAATTTCGTTATTCAAACTAAGGCCTATGTAAAGGTGTTTTGAGAATTCATATATCTTATATCGTTTCGGAAATATAAAACCGTACAACGGTCGAACAAACATCCACAGCGAAGAAGAACGAACGAAATGTACTATGTCCTGAGAACAAGTAGTCTTGCACATAGATCTTTGTTCTACGGATGAGCCGATATAGTCAAACGTTTCCACGGTCATTCTAGGATTATCATATCAGAACTTATCCCAATTTTGTCTTTGGTCGTCGTAATTTCTTTTTGCTTCCTTTGTTTGTAATACGGGTTCAAGTCTTCTTGTTATGTGGGCTTAACTCTACTGAATGAAAGAATAAGGGACTCTCCACACTAGCGTCTTTCGAGCGTCAGCGTCTTGCCAAAGCACGCACAGCGTCTTATCAATGCACGCACAGCGTCATAGAACGTCGTCGACATTGCATTCGCTCGGCGGGGCGGCGACGCAACGCCAGCACAGAGCGACTGCGGAAGAATGCCGAACGTTGGGTATACGCCGCGCTGACGTCGCGTCGACGCTGTCCGTGTGTGTTGTGCGTGTGCGTGCGCGTGCGTGCGTGCGCGTGCGTCCGTGCGTGCGTGCATGCGTGCGCGTGCGTGTGTGTGTGTGTGCAAGATGCTGACGCTCGCTACTCTAGTGTGGAGGGTCCTGTCCCGGTTACTTCAACCCCGGACGTTACTTCGGCGGAACAGCCAGGGGAGTACCAGCTGCTGGTCGTAGGAAGGCAAAAGTTCAGTGAATAACCGTTGGGTTTTAAAAAAAACGAACCGCGCCCAAATAAATTTTGTTTACAAGGGTATTCCTTCTTTTATTTAGAAGACCCCCCGTAACACAGTATCGACATCGCGATCACATTCTCGTTACTTCACTTTACCGCCGCAATCTAAGCGATCTAGTCGCTGGCGTCGAGAACAGACCACTTTTATCTGTCGTCCAGTTAGTGACCTGACGGGCTCTAAAAATTCTTAATTTTGCATACTATTTGACATAAAATTACAGTGATTCGAGAACAAATTCATTCAAGTACATTACTTACGCATTCTACCTTGTAGGCCGTATCGGCAGCGGGGCACATCGTCCCGTTTCGGGTGTTCATTCCGTTCAATGCTATTTCTTGCATTTCTGGTCCCCTAAATGCGTAGTCATAAGCTTAATAACGATGCCTAACGAATTAATTCTACCTGATAAGAAAATGTAGGTAGATTCTCATTTAAGAAGTAGATACATTATCGATTAGGTAACTATAGATACGATAAATCAGCTAAATACGCGTGATTGAAACTAAATACGTACCTACTTGCAATATACGGGTATGGGAACTGCTTTCACAATGCATGTGTTACAATCAAGTATTATAAGTACACAGCAAAAGCAAGGTCTCGAGACTCGGAGGACGGAACAACATTCCCGTCCTTCATTGATAAAGCAATATTTGAATAAATTATTAATACAAAAATTGAACACAAAGAAAAAATCCTTCGATAACTAGTGTTGGGTCATGGAAAGTTTTTGTAAATTTTATATTTTCAATAAGTAAACATTTTTTGTATTTTACCGAATATTTTTGCTATATTTTTCCTGTAATTTCCTACTTTTGACATCTATCAAAAGTTGAAAATACTGAGCGAAAAGGACGGTGCCATTACATAGGGCACACTATAAGTTTCCGGAACTGGCCACTTACATAAACAATTTTTAAAAAGTAATTACAACATTTGAAAATAGAACTCTCTGGCTGCAGAATACAATTTCTTTCATCTGTCACTTGTTTTTACATTGTGGCGTCATTTTAGAAATTGGTTGTCTACATCACCATGGATTTAACTCGTGACAATTTTCGTAGTATGATTTTCTACGACTTTAAGTGTAATTTAACAGCTCAGCGGAGCTTCGCTCGGCTTCGGACATAGTAACAGGTGACGAAACATGGATTTATAGTTACGATCCTAAAACAAAGCAATCGAGTTTATGAGTCTTTCGCGAAACCAATCAAAGTGGCGCGCGTGCAAAGTGCCTCTAAGCGGATGATTGTTTTTAATAAAACTGGACACGATCTTTGGAGAATCGTTGTACCGTGAATAGTGATAGGTAGACGACCATTTATTTGTCGGAAGTTATTGACAAACTCCGTAAAAATGACCGTAAACGCCGTATCATCTTGCACTAAGATAATCACAATAATAATTCTCACATGGCCAGACAGACAAATGAATTTTTGAAGGTGAACAACGTTAACCTTGTGAGCCTTCCCGCGTGCAGTCCCGACCTGGCACCTTGTGACTTTTATTTATTTCCAAAAATTAAGAAACAGTTACGCGGTCAACGCGGTGCAGTTACAACGATTTTCATCACTTGAAGAGGCTTTCGAAGAGTAGAGATTGTGACGGAGGAGTGGCATAAACGTTTTCAAAATTGGTTCATTCGTATGAAAAAGTGCATTAACGCTAACAGAGAATATTGTGAGAAACAATAAATTCATTTCTGATAATTTATAGTATTTGTTTCTTATTCATTGCGGAAACTTATAATGCGCCACACGTATAAAGATTTTTCCATTGGATTCTTTTTTTCGCCGTTGTCCAGTCATTTTAATATCTTTTTTTCTCTAACTTGCTATTGGCTATACAATTTTATTTTATATTCGCGCTAAATGATAATTTCAAAAGATATTTCTAAACGTAGAACATAATAATATTAGCCTTCAAATTACATTTTTCCAAATTTTCTCAAGTTTTTTCGGAAACATTCCCACTATACGAAATTTTTCGGAAAATTACAGCCTTACCAGGGTGATCGCTCTACCAACTAAGCCACAGATCGAATCAACCGACCTTACGAATTTTTCTATTATGCCTTTGTTAAAGATCTTTGTTTTATCTGTGAGAACTCTATGAAAGTTTTTCTTCACTCAACCAGTAGGGTTAGCACGAAAGGGCGCGAAATACGCGAGAGCGACATAAAGCGCGAGTTACTGCTATTCTCGAATAGAGATCTCGTCTTCCGATCTTCTCTGTAACACCTCTCACGTAAGGTAAGATGGCAGGTCTTCGCTCGACTGTTGGTGGTTTCACACGGGGCCCGCGGCATTGGCTGCGAGAGGCCATTGAAATTAAAAAACATCCTAATTTCAACAGGGAAGATGGTTTCTCCGTACCACCACAAGTTTGGGATCCAGTATTTCCTCTAATGAAAAATCCCAAACAGACATAAGACTGCAGTACTAATTAATATGTTTTAGTTTATTCTAATTTCTATTAATAATTAATAATAAATTAAACTTAATAAAAATTCATTCAATAAAATAATTTGTAAAACTTAATGTAGCGTAAATTGGAATGTTTTCTTTGTAAAATTAAAAATAAGGTATTTAATTAATAACTATTGTAACTATAGTGGAAAAATAGGGTGGTTTGCATTAATATTAGACATAACTGGTTGAAGACTGTACCACCTCAGTCAACCGTGACCATGAGACCTGTAAAGGGCCCGAAACGTCGGTTTGTTTGATACGCGATTTAAATCCGGGAAAATAGTTTCATTTCCTATGAATATTACGATGTTTTACGAAACTACAAATTTTCTAGAATGATTCCTGTGACACTTCATTGGACGTTTGTCATCGATGAGGTAAAGTCGATACATTTTTTCAAATACAAAGGTTCGCTCTTATGCAGCCTTGTATAATATTACGGATTTAAAAAAAATCAGTTTTTAAAATAATTAATTCCCATGAATAATATAAATAATATATAAATAATATAAATAATATTTATTTTATTTTTGATATCCGACACGATATTTCTATGGAGTAGGTGCCGGAGGAGAAATAAATTAAATGTAAATGCAGTTTTTGTTTATGATTTAATAGCTATCGCCTGCGATAGGTGAACAATAATAATTGCATATACAACCAATTATAGCGCCTTAAAATCTATGAAATTGTTCAAGAATGTATGACATATATACATATGAATTGACATATATACATATGTGTCAATTTAATTTATTACGAGTGCTGACACCTTGTATGTGTCACGATTTATTATTGTTCCCTGCTGTGTTTTATGTTAAAGTTATTTGTTTTTATTTGTTGACTTTTAGTTTGTTTTCTTTAATTTAGCTGTTGTTGTTTAGCCAAGCTGAAGACTTGTCCTCAACAGTCAAGTGCGTAATTTGTAGTGTGTCTACGCGATTATATTGATCGCGAGAAACAATGGATCCCTCCTGCCTCTCGATAACGTTGTATAGATATATCAAGTGTTTTGTATTGCATTGAAGGCGTAAAACACCCAACTAAATTCAAATGCCATTTCAATAAATATTTTAATAAATTAGATTCATAATGTAGATTAAAAACATTAATAACATATCACTAATTACCTAAGTAAAGGTTAAACTCTTGTATCCACAAAAACGTTTTATCGATATACTTTATCTCTAGCAAATGCTGTCTAATGAAGTAACTTTTGTACGTCGTCGTAAAAACAAATTTATTTCTGGAAAAAAAATGTTTCTTTGCTCATTTCTCACTAATTTGTAGTATAGTTTTACTTTAATTTTATGTATTTATTCACTTAAAAGCGGAGCTTATAAAAATAGTTTATAAAATACGTAAATTAGTGGACGTCGTTACAAGGTTATATTACGTAGAATTTTGTGAAGTGTTATCCAGGGATTATCCTAGAAAATTCGTAGTATATCATGATATTCATTTTGACGTCATTCACTAGTTTGTTATAATTATTAATACGAAAATCGAATACAAAGAAAAAATCCTTCGATCGAAACTCGAACTTGCGTACCACCCCCTGGTATGACACAGACGGTATGTAAATTAACAACGGTACTTATTTTAATTGTGCTGTGCCCTATGGGAACGGTCAGTAATAAACTTACAATCAACACGTAAGTTATTTTTTTAGATGCCCGTGGCTGACTTTAGGGAATTCTCTATTGCGCACGAGTAATATGATTAGTTAAGCATAGTAGCAATTAATCAACTTGGACCGTGAATGCGCACAATGACCGTAACCATACATGAGCTAAAGAACGTTCTATTGGAGTATAAGAGTAGTTACACACGGTGTTTGTGAAACGCGCGTTTGCTTAGCGACATTAGCAAATTTATAGCCGATTGCATAGATGCAAACGCGTGACTTTTTTATAATAATAATAATAATAATAATAATAACATTAAGGGTCGTATTCCAGAACTCTACTCAACACTCAAGTCAGGACTTGAGTATTGCAGTGAGCACTGAAAATCATACTCAAGTCCTTGCCATTAGGGTCGTATTTACAGCGCTTGAAATCATACTCAAGTCTGCTCATTGAGCATTGAGTAAAGTTCTGGAATACGACCCTAAGTGACTGGACGAACAAGTCGTGCGCCTAATGGTAAGCTACACGCCTGTCCATAACAATTGCAGTGCCACTCAGAGCTTTAAATCGCAAATTTAAATCAACATTGATAAGTCCCATATGCCCGTAATTTCACCAGTACCCTTGCCCTTCAAAACTGGAACACAGTAATGCTGACATTACTGCTTGGCGGCAGAAATGGTTAAGGTGGCAGTACTCTGTCTCTCTCATCTGAACGTTGTCCCGGTTGCGTCCTCAGCAGTGTTGCTGCGGAGCCCGGGGTCCGCTTTCCTGCTTTTTCTCCTCCACTTTGCACGGTTTTCGGCATCCTTAGTGGTGAGACCATTGGCACGCATATCACCCTTGGCGACGTCAAGCCAGCACTTCTTGGGTCTGCCCCTTCTACCGGGGCTCAGCGGAGGTGGCATAGCCAGACATTTGTTTCCCACGTAGCATGCCAGTTTCCGTAAGATGTGGCCGTACCAACGTAGGCGGCTTTCTTGCAGTTTATCTGCAATGTCACGGACGTGAAGGCTGCCGCGGATGCGGGAGTTTGTGACACGGTCTTTCCGTGAAATTCCACACATCCAGCGCAGCATCTTCATTTCCGTGACACGCAGCTCCTGCTTATGGTGCTCAAGTACGGGCCACGTTTCACTGCCATATAAAAGGACAGGCCTAATGATGGATTTATAGACCTGTCCTTTCAGCTTAACCGGCATTTTGGGGTCACAAATGACACCAGTCATCTCACGCCACTTTGCCCAAG